ATCTAAGAATTATGTCTGAATGTACATACATATGTACATTGCAAAACAAGGCTGCTGAAATGCTGTCAATCTTGAGAATCACTATGCAAATACGACGTGTGCATGCGAAGTGGCGAATCTGCTTATTTAGATATCGGCAAAACTGATTATGTATGTATGTAGCTAACTAAGGAGTGCTGAGTCGTTATTGTTGTATGTAATTTAATATTTGCATGGATTTGCAAATTGTAAATGTTAATGTAAGAGATTTTAACGTGGTGTGACTTACAATCAAAGCTAATCAATTCGAAAGACTAACAAGTAAGGCAGCGAGCGACTTTGTACATACATATTCTATATACTTACATACATATGTTCATAAATACAAATTTTGAAAGTTTTAAAATCGATCAGATAGGAAGAAACTGTTGCTTTTGATTGCAAGAATACCGATAGAGAAAAGGACAAAGACAAAGGTGATGGCAAGCACAAATATCGAAATACGGACAAAGATAAAAAATAAGATTAAAATGAAGAAAAGGATAAAGGTGTAGGTGGAAATGAAATTTTAGATCAGGATGAAGACGAAGATGTAGATGAAGATAAAGGAGGAGCTGAAAATAAAGGCGAAATATAATATAACAGATTAACATGGGGATGAAGATAGAGATAAAGGCGAAGGTGAAGATATTCGTGTAAATGAAAATGAAAATGTAGGTGAAGATGAAGGCAAAAATAAAATTAACATATAGATCAAGGTGAAGGTGAATACGAAGACGGAGAACGCAGTGGAAGATGCATATGTAGGTGAAGAGGAATATAAGTGTGAAGATAAAGATAGAAGCGAAGATGAAGAAAAAGGTGAAACTGAAAATAACGATGAAGACGGAGGCGGAGGCGGAGATAAAGATGTAAGTGTAGATGAAGAGGAAGACGAGGGGGAAATAAAGACGAAGGCGAATTCGAAAGTGAAGACCAAAGTGATGCTGAAGGTAAAGATAAGGCATGAAGTCGAATACTTTAGTGGAAATAGCAAGCTTAGGAGTTGCTGCTTCCAGTGAACTCGACGAAGAATACCGCAGACGATTTAACGGATGAGAGCTATATGAGCTTCACGACGATATACAAATATAGTACAAGTGCATCTCTGAGGAGCACTCGCCTTTCCGATGTTACAACGCCGCTAGGATTTTCATAGATTTTTCTTTTCAGAGTATGAAACCGGGGATCAGAGTGCCTTAAAAGTACGTAGTTTGTGCCTTCTGTTTCCTCAATAGTCACATAAGATCAAAACGATTGTGATAGCCTTTGCTAAGAATGTACGTTAGGCTAAAATCTAACTTATTGGAGATAAAACGAAGTCTGACTTTCCATAGGTTTTAGTATCTCATTCTATTAGCCATTGAAATGAGCTGTTTTAGTATATAAAAAAATTATCTTACACAAAATCGATTTTTAACTACTATCATGTCTTTTACAAGCTTCTCTCAGCACTGTAAGTAATTTTTCTAGTATTCCATCACACATTATGCCTTCATAAATCAACAACTTCAACACTTTGATTCTTAGTGTAAACAAGAGCTGACTTGGATCACCAAGTGGCCGTCATTTCACTGTCTACAATAACAATAAATAAAATAGAGCAGACGAAGAGGAGAAGCCCAATACTATTTGAAAGAAGCTTAACAATTCATCTGAAACGACTAGCCAACCAACAATAAGTGGTCAAGTGGCATTTTGGCTTGTAGCGCTTAGGTAGCATACGGTATTTAATTGCCCGCTGGTGTTTTGGTAGCACTGGTGTTGATTTACTAGGTGCGAGTATGTAAGTATGTATGTATGTACATACATATTTATGTTACCGTAGCAGTTTAGCAGACCGGCTGGAATTCTATGAAATATAAATATAAACCAGATGGCTTTAACAGAATTTTGTTTTCACAGCACATATTTATTTAAGTACCTTAGGTCGATGTAGAAAACCATGGTGCTACATATTTACATACATATGATGCACTATAAATCTTTTTTTCCAAATAAAGCTGATATAAATATCTATGTATACATGCAAGCACACATGTCTATACATTAGACAACGTACAAAAATCCCGCAATGCGATCGGAACTCGCCTCGAATTTTAGTATTTGGTATTCTAATGATCCTCCAAGAATCTCCACTATCTACGATAATACTAAGGGGTCGCGGATCGAGCGAGCGGATACATTGATTATACGTCATTTAATTGAATTCAGGTGCGCGTATTTACTAGAGTCTAATTCGACTATTTTTCCAAAGCCGGTTTTCGAGCTATTCGAAAAAGACCGGTCTTTCATTTTTAAAATGAGAAAAAACCCGGTTAGACCCGGTTGAAAAATTTAGCATTTGAATAACGCTTACCTTTCTTCTTCTTCTTCTTTTTTGGCGCTGTAACCGCCTAAGCGATTTTGGCCGAGTTCAGCAAAGCACGCCAGTCGTTTCTCCTCTGTGCCAACTGACGCCAATTGGAAACGCCAAGTGAAGCCAAGTCCTTCTCCACCTGATCTTTCCATCGCAGTGGGGGCCTCCCTCTTCCTCTGCTACCACCAGCGGGTTCCGAGTTGAATACTTTCAGAGCTGGAGCGTCGGTGTCCATTCGAACGACATGACCAAGCCAGCGGAGCCGCTGTATTTTAATTCGCTGCACTATGTC